AGCTAGTGTAGTTAGCTGCAGAAGTACAGGGAAATGGATGTCATACTTGTCCTTGCCTTCCCCATCCCTCAGATTCTGAAAATGCTCTGTGCTGCCAGAATCAATAACTCTGAGACGGTGCCTTCCTTAAGCCCTCACTGCATGAACCAGCAAACTCACTGTCCTGTTCTATGATGATATTAACAACAACAAGTCTAGTGTGACTTCAGAGCCAGGGAGGTAAGGAAACATGCTAAAGTAGCCATCATTGTGATCTGAATAATTCTAAAAATTCTCAAATGATGCCCTCATGCCAGACAAACAGACCCTAAAGTGCTCCCAAGTGTCTCCAGAAGGAGCTATGTCCAAATGCAAAGTACCACGTGTCGGAGGACTACACGTAGCATCACGTAGCTAGATCCTTTAGTTAATACCTTAGGTGACATGAGCTTGATCCTCTCTCTGAGAGAAAGGGGGCGTTTCTCTGGGACTGACCATCTCGATAACAGGCCTGTAGGTAACTACTACGCCAACACACTGCGCAAGGAAAGACAGTCTGAGGTCAGAGCAGAGACAGCTGTTTGGGGGAAGGAAAGGAGTCCACATACAAGGTGGGCAGGAAATCACTGACTAGAGTGCTATTTTCTTAAGATTAACAAAGGAAGAAAGAAATCTCTGTAAACACTATGATGTCTCTGAGTGTCTTTCTGCTCTACATATTTTCTAATCTTCCTTTGCTATTAAAGTTTCCCATGAAAAATCACAACTTTTTCACCTGAATAACGGGAAGGAGATTTTAATTCATCGAGGTAGGGCAGTGAGGAAGAACCAGAAGATCTTTCTGGAAGAGCGCAGTGGGTACAAGGAGACCTGCTGTCTGCTGGCAGTTATTGGCACATCATTTTGTCTTGAATGAATAAACCTCATGCCTCCTCATTAAATGCAGCTGGGTTTACTGATAAACACTGATCATCTAGAATGGCTTGTCCTATTTTGCTTCTTTTTCTTTTCTTTTCCTTTCCTCAGATGCAGAAGGTTCAATTAATCATACTCATTCCTCTCTGAGACCAAACTTATTGCCATCAAATTAATCCTGACTCATAGTGACCCTGCATGCGAGAGTAAAAGTGCTCCGTATCATTTCCCAAATGGCCAGTCTGATGGGAGTACCCTGCCACCTTTTCCTTCTGCAAAGTGGATGGTCAGCTAACCGCTGACATTGCCGTTAGCAGACCTCTACTGCCATCACTGTGCCACCAGGGCTCCGTCATACTTCTTCAATAGTATGGAAGTGGATAGTATATTTCCTTCAGGAGCTCATCCAAGACCTCTGCGGTGCAGTAAATTGCCTGATATGGCTCTTCAAGCCCTCATCTTTGCCACTTTACCCCAGTGCCTGGCTGGGACCATACAAATAGGGTTTATGGTTATGTAATTAGGGGGTTGGTCAGTTTTCCATTCCACTCAAGTTAAAATAAGCCATCTCAGAAGTGGAAAGAGAGGAGTTAACTAAACCTACCTGGGAGAAGCACTTCAGCCTGTGTGACCCAAGGATTGTAAATCAATATAATCCAGATCCAAAGGAGGAAATGATATCAGAGCTTCCATTGTGGACATCCAGTTTACACAAGGTTGTAGACGGCAGTGGAAGCCCTAACTCCATTTGCAGGATCCCTACATGGATTAAGCCTCAAGTGAATCCCCTCTGACTACAGATAGTAGAGGCATGTGGATAATCCTGTTATCAGACCGTATTAGAGAGATGGTTACAGAAATATCCAAAACCAAACTTGCTGCCATCAAGACAAAGCTGACTCATAGCAACCCCCACTGTGGGTTCCCAAAGCTGTAACTGTTACGGGAGTAGAAAGCCCAGTCTTTCTCCCTGGGAGCTGCTGGTGGTTTCAAACTGCCGACCTTGCAGATCACAGCCCAATGAGTTAGGTTAAAATGTAACATCTTATTTGATCCCCTTTTGACCCATTTAAAAACTGAATCAGTTAAAACAAAACAAATGAAGGGGAAATGACATACCCATGGATTAAACCCCCAGGGATGTGAACAGCCTTGCTATCATGCAGCGTTGATTGGAAAGTAGATCATGACAGATGTAGTTAGGTTAAAATTTAACACCTTATCATTTGATCTCCCTTTTTACCTATTTGAAAGTTGCTCTAGTTTTAATATTTTATTTTCTTTCTTTTCAACTGAGGTTTTTCTCTATTTTGTTTGTTGTTAACTTTTTGTTACTTTGCTTGTATGTTTTTTGTTCTTGTATGTTTCTTGGTATCCAAAATCCAGGATGGGTGAATCTACAGAAACAGTAACTGGGTTAATGGTTTTGTGGGAGTATGGAAGGGAAGATTGGGGGGATATGGCGGCTGAGAACAAGGAGTATAAGAAAGAAGGAAATGTTCTAAAATTCATTGTAGTAATGATCGTACAACTGTTCTTGATATGACTGAACTATTGAATTGTATGATGTGTGGATTATTTCCTAATAAAACTGGTTTTTTTAAGAAGTTGAAAAAGAGGACCTCATTACCATCAAGAAAGAGGATCCAAGAGTAGAGCGCATCATTTGGACATCAAGACACCAGCTCATTGATCCTCCTTGATCCAGGAATCAGCTCTGACAGCAAAGGAGGGGTGGAGAAACGGCAACACCCAGAACATGAGACACAGCAGTGGGCATCCTGGTCCTTGGAGGGAGAAAGCTGGGTGCCTTCAGTGGGAGGCTCACTGGTGGAGTGAGGTTCCTCCAAGCATTTCACTGGGGGTCTAGGTTCTCTGGTTGACAGAGCTGAGGCTGAGCACCTCCAGGATGAGGCTTACAGCATGGGAGAGTACACTTTCAGGCATTTGTCAGCAGCACTCAAAGAGCTTTGTAACATCGCCTGAGCAGGACAGAGTTCATCTGGCTGAGAGACCGAGAACCAGAAAGAGGCATGCCTGCAGACATGGCTCCTTTTGCAGAAGAGGTGCTCCTGGACAAAGAATTGTATCCCGAGCATTTCTGAAGCTGAATTGTAACATGTTCACTTCTTTAACAATCCCCATAACCGTGAGTATTGTCTGTGAGGTCTGTGGGGCCGTCCCAGTGAATTAACAAACCCAGCAGAGAAGAGGTGGGAACTGTGGGAGGGATGGTTGAGGTTCTGACTGGTAGAGATGATTGGAGGATAGAGGCATGACTGACCTCCACCACTTTAGACTCAACCTTGAGTTGATTCTCTTTCCCCCTGGTGAAGTCAGAGGAGACCACCCCGTACCATGTGTACGGCCTCTCTTCTATTTTGTAGTTTCTTTCTTTTAGCTATCTGGCCTGTTACTTTTTATGACTGTGTGAATCATCTATATTTTAGCCACGCAGACTCCAAGAATAGATGCCAAAATGTCCTGAATTCTTCACAACTACAAATACACTTTGTTTACTTGCACATGTCACTTGATGACCTGGGTTAAAAAAAAATGAGACATTTTCAATAGTTTGTGTGTGTGTATTGGGTGAAGAGTTACAGAGCAAATTGTTAGTTTTACATTCAATAATCCATAAACATGTATCTCATTCATTGCAATTCCTACAATGTAACATCACTTATCACTCTTCCTTCCTATGTTCCTAGTTTTCATTCCTCTTTCTTAGCTTGGGTAGATGGTACCCTTTTGATTTCGAATAGCTGTTTGCTTTAAGGAATACATACTTCCCTAGTGTCACTGCTCCTCGTATGGACTTGTCTGTTATTTGGTTGAAACTTGAACCAAGGGGGGTAACTAAGGGCCATAAAACTCCAGGGTTCCACTATCCTCTATTCGGCCAATGAGAATGATCTCTTTTACGGCTTTGGTTTTGGTTCTACATGGTTCCTCTGCTCGATCCAGGATGGTCTAATGTGTCTTTCAGAGAAGTTGGTCATCATGGCTGGCTCTTCTGGACTGTGGGTCTTGGAAGCTGATGGTTGAGAGGTCTCTTAGTTTGTTGGATTCATTGTTTCTATGTATCTTTGGTTTTCATCACCTTCTTTCCTCCACACAGAGAGAAACTAATAGTTGACCCCATGGCTTCCCAGGAGCTTCTAAGACCTCAGCCAGTACTCACCAAGGAAGGATGCAGGACATTGTCTCTGTGGGCTATGGTATGCCGATTGGTCTGTCGTCCCTTAAGACTATGGTCCTAAGTCTGACCTGGTTTAAAATTTGAAGCGTGGAGAACGTCTATAGCCAGGGACAGAATTGCTAGTCCGAGTATATGGATGGAGCTGATATGAAATATTTCTCATCTGAATGGTCAATGGCCAAGCTCCCCAATTATTGCTCTCTTTTCCCCAAAATCCTTCCCCAAGACTATTCAGAACAATGCGCCAAACAGCAATTCAAGGGTTAATGATTGGCCCAACGAGACCCCATGGCTTCCTATGAGCTTCTAAGACCTCAGCCAGTACTCACCAAGGAAGGATGCAGAACATTGTCTCTGTTAATTCCAGCAGCTGTTAAATAGTTTAAATATAAACTTAATTTGATCATCTCAGTTCTCATTTTCCCACAGAGCAGCCAAAAGATACACTAAAAACATTACCTGCCAAGTTCAGCCCACTTCCTGACCTATCTTGTAGGATTTCTCAGAACTCCAGAACACCATTGTACATTCCCATCTGCATTACCAAGGTCAGATTCTGCCCAATCCTGCCCAGGGACCTGGGAGACAGCAGATGGTGACCACTCCTCTGATATCACAGCCATAGCAGAGGCTGCTGTCCAGCAGGGGAAATGCACGGAACTCAACTTCCTGAATTATAGCTTAGCTCCATCGTTCTCTTGCTCTCTGACTTTGAGCAAAAATAAAAAGCAAAAGTAACCTCATTCTCCTCATTTGCTAAGATTCTCCCCCACGGGGTGGGTGCAAGATGATATGGTACAAACCAAACCGAATCAATCCAACTCCTGGCAAGCTCAGACGGGTGAGAAAAGAACTGTGCTCCGTAGAGTTTTGATGGCTAATTTTTCTTTTCTTTTTTTTTTTTCACTGTGCAACCCACTTCAGTGCCGTAAGCCCACCAAGTAAAGCCAGGCAGTGGTTCGGAGTGACAGTTTGCTTTGGCATGGGACACTGTGAGAGGCCTATGGGATCGAACCTGCCACAAATCCTCGATGGCTGATTTTTCAATGAAGTAGAACAAGATGGCCTCTTGCAACGTCTTACAAAAAGATGGCCTCTGGGTAGACTCAAAACACCAGCTTCTTGGTTAGTAGGTGAGCACTTGATTCCATATATGTGCCACTCAGGGACAATGAAGAGGAAAGAAAATACTTTTTGCTATCAAACTCCTAACGTGTGGCATAAAATGCTATCAAAAATAGCTGAAAACACACACACACCGATGACTAGAGCCCATGCATGCTATAAACTGCCCATTGCGGCACTACTTGTACCTGAGACAATGGCCACTGAGGATGCAAATGTTCAGCATTAATAAACAGTGCACACGTTCCCAATTGTATTTAGTGCCTAACGATCTCATGAGATCTTCTAAAACAGTGCTTCTCAACCTTCCTAATGCTGTGACCCTTTAATACAGTTCCTCATGTTGTGGTGACACCACCCCCCCAACCATAAAATGATTTTCGTTGCTACTTCATAACTGGTACTTTGCTACTGTTATGAATCGGGCAACTCCTGTGAAAGGGTCGTCTGAACCCCAACGGGGTCACGACCCACAGGTTGAGAACCGCTGTTCTAAAGGCTAAGCATTTCAATGGGGGTGTTGTTTGTTTGTTTTGTTGTTTAATTTAGTTTCAGAAATGCCAAGTTATATGGCAGCTCTGAGCATTGCAGATATTTTCCCAAATACCATTACGTGATCCAAATCGATGCTTGGGCTCTGCTCTTTTTATGACTTACAAGAACAGAAAACTCGACCTTCATCTGAAATCGTAGACATAGTCTAAGGAGAGTAAATCAGTGATCAAAGGATTGGATTCACACTTACCCAAATCTACCCATGATAATACGCACACTCCCCTGCACGGAAGTGCACGTGCTCTCAGGAGGCCACATAGATAAATCATCTGCACTCATAAGCCAAACTCAAGGCCCTGAAGTCCATGCTGACTCAGAGTGACCCTGAGGCTGTAGCTGCTCAGGAGAGTAGAAAGCCCCGCCTTTCCCAGAGGAGATGCTGGTGGTTTCAGACCACAGACCATAGGGATCACAGCCCAACGTGTAACCAGACACCAGCAGGACAGAAACACACATCTACACCTGCATTTCCATACCCAATGGCAGGCTCCGTGGGTTGGCAAGATCCCCTGCCGTGGGGAAGTCTCTAGATTTCCTCTCACCGGAACACTAGGATATGAGTTATTGTTTTCCATAACCTTGCATACCAGGCTGGAAGGGATATAGTGAGTCATACGGAGTCAGAGAGAGGAAAATATCAAGCTTTAGTGGTCAATCTCTGTCCATGAGAGTGAACTCCTGTGAACTCCTGGAGACACAGCAAGAGGAAGGTACCTCCCTACACACCACTAGAGTGCAAGGTCAAACGGAGACCCGTGATGAGTCAAAGGCGATTCAGACATCATGATGCCTCAGTTCTATATGCCATAAGCCTGTGAAAGTGCAAATTATCTATCTAACCCTCTGCCCTTCACCTGCGCGGGATGATTTCTAGAGTTGTTTATCAATTGATTCAATCCCTGCCTCTAAATGTTGCTGTCTCCTAGCACTTGACCTGTAACCCTTATCACAGTCCTCAGCGTGTGCAGGCTGAACATTGTGTTTTGACTTTGGAAAATGCAAAGACCAAGAAGATCCAGTCTCTGCCTTTAAGAAGTGTGTCATCTTTAAGATAATCAACTCAGAAATAAATACTGAGAGCCAACTGCATTAAAATTTCTGGATAATTACAGCGGTTAATACAAATTAAAAATGCCTTTCAGTATTTATAGAAACTTACTGGGAAATTTCTCATCCGTACATTGAGAGCAATAACTTTTGCCTTCTGCAACTTAGGGGTGATTAATCCACCTCACAGGTTATTTAGGGATCTGTTTTGCTCAGTGCAACTTTAAATCAACCCTGATTTATTCAACACATTCCACAAAATTCTGGCCAAATCTTCTCCACTCCATAAGCCCTGAGAAGTTTCTGTCCCAGCCTACTCCCTTTATCTCAACCTCAACAGATACCTGAGGATTTTGCTACGGAGAAGATCTAAACTAAGAAACTCACTGACATTGATTCAATACTGACTCAGAGTCACCCTATTACTGTCCCTGGAGTTCCAGAGACTGCAACTGCTTGTGGGAATCCCTGTCTTTCTCACACTCGTGAGAAGATAGAAACCACACATACAGATTCCCTCAATTTCCATTTGTTCACCTTCAAGATTCTCTCAGGCTTCATGCACCCTTCTTTACACTCCTTTGATGATGGTTGTTTATATCTGTGGTTGTTACATAATCTGTTGTCAATTTGAGACTATTAAGCATGATGGGGTGGAGTTTAGCCTGTCATCTGGACTTAGAGGCTAATATTGAACTCGTGGACTTGATCTGGGCTAGGATGTTTTATTGATGCATAGTTGCTTCTTGATATAAGCTCTTTCTTACACACATATGAGCCTCCCTGGGTTTCTTTCTCTAGTCAACCCGGATTACCACAATATCTAAGGACATAGTACAAGCAAGAGAGCCAAGGCTATAGATGAAGAGGTTTAATAAAGCATGATGAAGTCACTCATTACAACCCCAGAATTTCCTTCATGGAATGCATCGCATAGTGGAAATTGTGGTGGTTACAGTTATTCTAGGCTTACCATTCCCTGACTCTATGACTCAACATTCATTCATTAAATCAACATTTGCAAGGCTAATGTGTGCAAAGTATACTAAACAAAGCTACAACTGAACCATTGTAAAACAGGGGTGATGATAATTCTAATTCACCAGACTGGCTTGAGGCTTTGATAGCCCACCAACCACATTGGGGATAATCAGCATGAATTATTGGCTATTAGAGAAATGTAAATAAAAATTACAATGATATCTCATTTCATTCTAGTCAATAATGGCACTGATTTAAAAAACAAACAAAAGAGTAATTAATATTGGCTAGGATGTAGGGAGATTGCAATCCTATACACTGCTAGTAGGACTGCAAAATGGTACAGCTTGTCTGGAAAACATTAGGGCACTTCCTCTAACAACTACAAGTAGACATAGGATTCAGCACTACAATTCCTAGGCCGAGAATGTAGCTAAATAAGAGACGTGACCGTCATGGTCAATGCCTCATTGTTCACGAGAGCAAAACAATGGAAACAAACAAAATGTTCACCCACAGATGGAAGAATAAAGAACTTCTGTTACACACATTTAAGGGAACATCACAGGAAATAAAGAACACAGATGAATCTGTGTCACGTCTCACAACATGGATGGACCTGGAGGATGCCTTGCTGAGCGAAATGAGTCCACCAGAAAATATAGTAGAAGGCCATGTGTTAGGTTGGGTTGTCTAGAGAAACCAAGCAGTGACACTTATCTGTGTACAAGAAATAATGTTATATCAAGAAGCAACTTTATTCCAAGAAGGTGCCCCAGCCCAGTCCAACTCAAGTCCATCAGTCCAATGCCAGTCTGAGTCCTCTTCAGGCTGGCAGAGCCGCAGGCCAATGACCCTGAAAGGTGAAGGGGGAGATTACAGGCCAGGGAGTTTGGAGTCACGTGGGTCCAAGGTCACAGTGGAGGTGTAGCAGGAAAGTTAACAGACTTCAAAATAGCAAGATGGAAACCACCTAATGCCTATCAGTGGAAGAACGAGTAAGTAAACTTTGGTACATACACAGAGGGGAATACTAGTCAATTGCTAAAGAATAAGGAAACTGTGAAACACTTCTTGACATGGGTGGATCTGGCACGCATTATGTTGTATGCTGAGTGAAGTCAGTCAATCACACAAGGACAAATATTATATGAGACCATTGTTATCAAATAAGATCAAGATAAAGGTTTTGGTTTTTCATACTGGGGGAAAAAAAATATATGGATACATTTCTATTGTCTTCACCCTCTTCTTAACCATGCTGGCAGGCATTTCTCTCTGACCCCCAGCCTCTATGCCATGTAGTCCCTTGGCCTCTGTCTCCATGGGCCAGGAAGCCCACTCACCACTCTGCCTCACAGCCTCCTGATTTCAGAAGGGCTCCCCTGCTCAGTCTCATGGTCTCTGTGCCAGTCTGGGTTGCCTCTGGGGCCTCATCCCCCTCTGCCACTTCAGGTGGGAATCTTTCACAAGCCCCTGCTGGTGGCTTTATATTGTGAGCGTAGGGGGGAAAAATGTGCACCCAGAATCCAGAATAAAACAGTCGAGTTTTATTGTCTGCTCTACTTGCCAGCAGTAGTTTGGGTTTTTTCGTTTTTTTGGTTGTTGGGGTTTTTTTCCTACTCTATCTTTTCACTAAATAGTCCTTTACAAGAGTAGTTGTTACATTCCATATTCACTGACTTTATAAGGTTGTTTAGAACAAAGAAAGAATGCATGTTCTGCAGGAAAAGAAAGCAGTGTAAACTGATTGGAATGAAGACCCATGTTTGGCTCATCAACCATTCTCTCTTGGGGGTTTGTGGGATGAGCCAACCAAAACTCACTGCCATCGAGTCCAGGCAGACTCTCAGCAACGTCCCCTGTGAGAGTTCGGGGACTCTAACTATTTGCAGGATTGTAAAGCCCCACCCTTCTCCCATGGAGTTGCTGACGGTTTCTAACTGCAGACCTTGTGGATCGCATCCCAGTGGGTCAGCACTAGGCGCCAGGACCGGTGGGCCAAATCCAGGGGAAGTTGGTGAAGATTATTTGTCAGAGCTTTAGTTACCACGGCTGTGACCGTGGTTGATTTGTGGCTGTTCTTGTTCCTCCACCATCCAGAGTGCCCTTCGTTCTCACCCACTTCTAAGTGTGACCTTGCAGACTTGTATTAGCTCCACAAGCTCATGGGAAATTACCATCTGATTAAATTTACCAGAGTCATTGTCACTTACTTGTAGCCAAGCACTCCATCTACTTCAATGAAAAAGGCCCGCTTCTTTCGCTCCATTACTAACCGCATCTCTGAATTGTCTCAAAGAGCTTCTGCCCAAGCTTTCTTGCTT